GACAGATAAATTTTATGGGAAATGTGGACTATTTACAAAGTAAGAGCTGCTTGACTATAACTATATTTTATCATTACATAATTTTCTCCCAGTGTCCTGGTCATGGATCAACCATTACATAATCAATTAATAGGACCACTAAAAACAGACAGAAACAAGAAGCCTTATTTGTTAGTCACACTTAAAATTCAGTGTCAGATATGCATAAAGGACTTGTTTTTTCAGTGTATAAATCTGTATGTGCTGTTAACCAGAAAGACATTTTTTAAAAGCCCTTAGAAATAGGCCTTAACATTCAAAAATGAAAAAATTGATAAAACCTCAAAAAACAAAAAAAACCCATAGTATTTGCATTATTTTTTCAAAATGAAACAAGGAAATCCTAAATATTCACGTGGCAACCATTACATCTAGTACATCTCAGTTTCAAGTAGTTAAAATAAAGTAGTTCCGTATAAAACTTGTTACAAAATACCACTGGTTTCATTGCAAATGCTAGAGACGTACTTTTCTACAATCTCAATCTGGGCCAGCAAGTGCCTGCTCAAAGAGTTGGCAAATATTAACAAAAAAGCTGAATAAACACCAATGTAAACATATTTTGCCTAATACAGTGCGGCCTTCTCATGGATCAAGCCATTTCACACACTGGGATAGAGCTATATGGAACCAACCACCTATCACCAATCTCCCTGCATGTTAAAAGTTAACATGTTTGACAAAGAAAGCTTTCAAGAGAGTAACTCTTGAATGTATTTTAAGCAAAATCCTATAAGAACTTAACAGAGAATGTGGCTTTATATCTGACTGCAGTTTAATCTAGTTCCCACATGAAAAGATGAACATCCAGGTTTTTGAAGAATGAGAGTAAAACCTTGCTCTTTCGGACTGTGTAGAGTCTCTTCTAAGCCCAATACATAGTTTCTGGTTGACTCTATCTTAATGAGTATTCAGAGACGTATTCCAATGCTTTTAAAACCTTTCTTTCCTAGTGCCCTTGAAAGGCTTTTTATAATAGAGAGGGAAAATGCTACACAGCAGGACAAATTACAATATAAACAAATCAATTGGAAATTCAGAGATGTCTAAAATTTACCATTAAGATGAACTCCAAATGGATCCCTCTCTCCACATCAATATTGCTATCATATTAGTACTAACTGTATCTTAAACCAAATTGATGTTATTTTATTTCTTTTTCAGCTTAGCTCTGCTTCCACCTGGTGGTCAGTCAGAATAAGTAACACATTTTGTCTCAAATTCCTTTGAAAGCTCAGCACCCTTTATTCTGAAGGGCACCTAGGTACATGTTCAGCGGGCGATACAAAAATCTAGGAGCGGAAAGGGATGAGTTTAAATAACCTCTCATCCATGGACCTCATTAAATACTCTTGGAAAGTATTTCCCTTTCAGCCAAGTCCCATGTACCCGCTCTATTATCAACATAATACACATGATATATAAAATGTTTAAGCAGAGACTATTTATTTTAACATAGTGAGCTATAATCACATATTCTAGCACAACCATTGCGAGTGTGAAGAGATCATTAGTCTTCCTTTCAACAGCTCCTAAGACCCTGTTACAGGGTTCTTCTAGTATCAGAGATTGCATTGTTAGCGATATATAGTTTTCACTGTCTCATACTGCTAACCCATTATGGGTTTTTCCTCAATAAGCCATGGGTAGGCTCATGTTACATGAAGAACAGAGGAGCACAGAATAACAGCCTCCCGTCTACACCCGTGGCCAAAAGTTTTGAGAATGACACAAAGATTAATTCTTTTTAATCTGCTGCTCCAGGGTTGGAAGATCTTCATGCAGATGTTACGATGGTATACTGAAGTATAAGTACAAGTATTTGCATAAGTGTCAAAGGCC